CGGTAAGTCGGCCTTCACAGGGGCACGCCACAAATAAATGCAAACTATGGCCGGGAATCCTCACAAACAACCCGGAAGGATAGGCCCGAGCCCTGAGTGAGCTGATGCTGGAAACCGGGTCCAGCGTCCCTCCTTGCCCACTATCCCAGTTCTGAAAAAGGAGATCTTCCAAATAAACTTGAAGCACCGTAAAAACGGAATGTCCTGGGCAGAAAACTGTACTCTCCCAGAACTCGTTGACTCAACTTAAGAACAGGAAGCTACTGCTATATCTATAAGAACAAACATCTTAACCGTGCAGCATGAAATACTGTGGAATGGGGGGCTGGTATAGAAATCAACCCGGTCCCACTGATAAAGACTTGCCACATCTATTGCCTCTGCTATACATCGAAAGTAGGAAGCTCAATACAGAATACAACAGCGGTGCTGCTTTATCAATGAGACGAACCAATTGGACCATTTCTGGATTGATGCGTGTCATGCTAATCTTCTTTCTCTGTATCGTTCCAATTTTAAGGGATGTCCCGAAGGGCGTCGCTGCACTACTCTCCACACGCACAGAAGATTTAAAAAAACAAAAAAAAAAACGAAGGTAATGTATATTTCCATGTTCTACCGGAATATTCAGTCTCGTTTTGTACATTCGGAGAGTAGTGCAGCTAGGCCCATCTGTCGCGTCGGCGCGGGGTCGAACTTGAGTTCGTCTATTTGTCGTCTATCAGCAGTTCACGAGGGTAAGGGCATCGCCACACCACTGTCGAGATGTGCAAAATGAGAATGAACTTACGGCTAGAACATGGCCAGATGCACCCGCCACGATTTTGTCCCTTTCACATTTCGTGAGTGGTATGGCTATGCCCTAACACTCAGCCACATGGACTCGGTGTTGCGAACGGGACAAAAGCTGTGGGTTCGACCTCACAGCGATACGGGTTACACTTTTGTTTTTCTTGTTTCTTTTTTGTGTGTCGAAATACCGGTGACACTTGCAGGCTGGTGGTGTTTTTCTTTGTACCAAAAATAATAAAATAAGGTTGGTGAAGCTCTCACTCACTGCAGTCAATGTTTGTTTTTTTTTCGCTTTCTTTGTTTTTCCCATGCAGTCAATCTCAGCCGGTTCCTCTTTCCCCGCCGATTATTCCAAGGCCATTCCCTAGGCTGTGGTTTCGCGTATTCATTGAAAGCTTGTTCGGCACTAGCTCCTTTTCTTGTTTTTTCCTTTTTTTTAATATATATATATATATATTATTAGCGTATTCATCCCACTGGTGCACAGTTCTTCAGGTCAACGATCTGGATGTGTGGCTGTCTACAGGAGCACTGCTTCGGTACGCAAAATTTGGACCATGGGGCATTGCTGCACTACTATCAGAATGCGCAAAATGAGAATGAATCTTCAGCTAGAACATGGAAAGATACACCGCCAAAATTTTTGTTTTTTGTGCATGTGGGGTGAGTAGTGCAGCGAGGCCCCATTTCTCCTAATGTGCAAAATGAGAATGAATCTTATGCTTGCCGGAGCGCCATGTTTTATTTGCGGCTAAATTGGGCAGGTTCTGTGGTCCACAACCCCGTGAAACGTCATTTGATTATTTCATAATTTCACCCACCCTGGACTCAGGCTCGAACGGCCTTACACCGCCCATTGACTGGGGTGCAAATAAATACAGAGGGTTTTTATTTGTTTGCACCCCAGTCTAAGGGGGGGGGTAAGGCGGTTAAAGCCAGGGGTCCTGAGACAAGGGTGAAATAACGTAACGAAGTTAACCAGGGTCAAATAATCAAACGAGAGGGGTTGTGGACCACATAACCTGCCCAATTTTTGGGCAAATAAGAAGAAAGGTTTTAGGTACTAAGTAAGGGGCTCGTTAGACACTCCTCGGGGCGTCCTCGGGCTCCGAGGGGAAATCCTCGGGGCAGCCCGAGGATTTTCCCGCATTCGTTCCACTCGTCCCTCGGGACGATCCCCGAGGATGCTCCGAGGACTGGCCGCGGGGAGTCGTATAATGTTATACGCGGCCACGGGACGAGTGTTTGGGCAGTGGTCCTTCGTGTGGTGTCCGTCTGGCTGGGCTTGGTCCACCGCGTATGGGCGGCGAATTTGAAAAGGGACTGCCGCCGCCGCGGGAAAAGGAAAATTGCGCGCGCGCGCGTGTGATTTCAAAATTCGAAATTTGAATCGGCCAAGCGTGGCGTCTGGTGCGGCGGGGCGGGGAGATGCGTGCGTGTGACGGCCACATCGTCGAAGCACAGGGGTGTTGCAGTGGGCGTCATGCGGAAACGGCCAATGGCCGTTTGGGCGCCAGCACAGACGTCGCCACGTATTAGAAGATGTGACGCACCCTGGCTACGACAGCAGCAGTGAGCGCCACCGCCGTCTTGAGTGTTCACTTTCGTGCATTCTGCCCTGAACGCCATCTCCGCGAGCTTCTTCATTGCCAGTGTCCATTGGTGGCGGCCTTGTGTGGTCGTTTGGGCGACTTCTGTCAGCGTGGATGAGTGCGATGTCTTCCGTGGTCGATATGTTTTCGGTCGGTGGCGGGGATGAGGGCAGGCCAAGGTTGTCCGCTTTGGAGAGGGCTGCAGTGATGACGTCCGCCGTCGCCGCCGTCATCATGCATTGCAAGACAGAGGTCGAAGGCGAACGACGGTGGGCACGGCTACACGCTCGAAGAAGGAAGGCAATGCAGCCGCCGACGTGTGGAGGGTTGGATAGCGTCGCCATCTGTGACGCCGTGTTTGAGGTATGCTGCGCCCTGGGGTGTGGGGGACTGCCGAGGGCGACCCCGAGGTGGTGGGTGAAACGAAGGCCGGGGTGGACCTGGGAGGATCTTCGCCCTGCAGACGACGCCACTGAAGACTACTTCCGTGACAAATTACGGATGTCTCCACGTGTCTTCCGTGAGATCGTCGAGAACTTGATGCCGATTCTCGAGCGACGTGTGACGTTCTATAGAGAGCCTTTGCAGCCAGACCACATCGTCGCCTACGCGCTTTACAGATGGGCGTCTGGCGAGACATACGAGAGCAGCACCTGCAGCTTTGTAATTGGAAGGGCTTTGGGTTTGGTGGCCGTCCGGGATGTCACAGCTGCGCTGCTTTCGGTGTACAGGGAGAAGGTGGTGTGGTCAACTGGGGTGCGGAAGGCGGTTGTTCTGGGGGCTTTTGCGGACAAGGGTTTCCCGAACTGTCATGGGTGCATCGATTGCACCCATATCTACATCGACAAGCCGGCGAACGCAGCTCCAGAAGACTACTACGACCGCAAGAGACGATTCTCTGTCATCGCACAAGTTGTGGTGGGTTTGGACTTGCGTGTCCTCGATGTGTTCGTGGGTTATCCAAGGAGCTGCCACGACGTCAGGGTCATCCATCTGTCCAGTCTTTGGTCGCGTGCGGGGGCGGACGAGTTGTTCACATGTCCTCCTTTGTTGCTGCCGTTCCAAGTGCAGACCAATGGTTATCTGCTGGCCGACAATGGTTACCCGCCGAGCGAATGGATGGTTGTCCCCTATGGCGGCATGGCGCAGACTCCGTTCGAGGCCCGTTTCGACAACAAACAGAAGACGGCGAGGGGGGCGGTGGAGAGGGTCTTCGGGAGACTGAAGGGAATGTGGCGGTTGTTCCTTGGGGTCGCACAAGACAAACATGGAGACCTTGCCGCAGCAGTTCGTGGCCGTCTGCATCTTGCACAACATCCTCATCGACGCCGGGATCCCTTTTGATGAGAACTTGTTGTGGGAGGTGGACGCCAACGGAGTTCGCCGTCGAGTGGATCTTGGGATCCAGCGCCCCCCTTGGCCTTTGTGCATGAAAACTTCTACGGTGGAAGCGGTCATGCTGCATGAAGCGCTGGCGGAGCGAATGATGCAGCGATGAGAGATGTCGGTGGCGCGGAGCGAAAGTAGATGTAAGTTGCGTACGTGGAAGGGCGTTTGACGGCGGCAGTAGAAGGAAGCAGCGTGCGGAGAGACCAAGGAGACAGTAGATCGTGCGATGTCGTCGAAGTCATCGTCGTCATTGTCGAACGAAGACCGCAGAACGTCTGTGAAGTCTAGTACTCCCCCTCCAGTGTGTCCTCCACATTCAGATTGTTGACGAGCGCTTTTTCTTTTTGTTTTTCTTTCGATTCGTGCTTTCACATTGACGCGTTGATAGTGCTTTATTCCCAGTTTATGCGCAAGCCATAGGGCGACAGATGTGGTGGTGGCGGTCGATTACTGTTGTCTGTGAACCGCATGGATACGGGATTCGGGTCTGTGGTGTGCGACAGACGCATACATGCATCCGGGTTCCTTTTCCCCGATTTCCGAAGCGCAGCACTGCGCACAGTGTACTTTTTATTTGTTTACAAGGGTTTGATGATTATTGTGTTCTGTTCGCCGAGTTTTATTGCTTGTCGTGGACTATTTTCCTCCCTTTCATGTGCCCTACGTGCCGAGATGAGGGCGCACTTACGTGTGTGATGATGTGAATGATTGCAAGCCATTGATGATAACATTCATTTCAGTTCACATATGTCCATGTTCCAAATGTTGGAGTGCATATTTTCTGTTG